GCCCTTATGCAAACAGACCGACCACAGATGAGTTGTGCTGATTGGGCCAGACCAACTGTGACTGATTGCAAACTAAATCTGTCTGCAGTTATAAACTGAATGTTTACTCTAGTGCGACTGAGCCATTTACACGCTGAGGAAAGTTCCTGATCAGTTTTAACTTTACTCTCTCGTAGTTTTCCTGACTGTAAAAATGGGTCTGGCTTTTGTGGGTTAATGCCGAAATATTGTATTAAAACTGTTTCGTTTGTCAGCTGCTTTTTAATTATTCTGATCATGTGTTTAATGTAAAAGCTTAATCTGCAGGTGTATCTGTGTATCTGTCAAAGAAATGTAAGATGATATCAGAAGACTCTAATTAGCGTTCAGGGTTATTTCATCCTGCTGAGGTTTCATTTGAAAGGTTTCTATGTGTCGAGGAAAAAAACACCAATTAGCCGCCTTTTGTTATGTGCAAAACAACAAGCTGTGCAGGATCCTGAAACGACTGAATTTGCCTTGTGCGATCAGTAAAGTATCTAACCGTCTGATTTAAATCTTCACAGTACGTTGTTGTTTGTGTCTGTTGCATCGTGGACAGTGATCAGGTTCCACTGCTCGTTTGCCATTTTGCTGCTGGGGAAACTCTCCTCATGCGCTTGTTATTAGCGAATCACCAAACTGCTGAAGCAGCAGCTCTTCGTCTGTCTGAGGGTCTGAAGCGCTCTTTGTTTTGCTGCCTCTCTCTTAGTCTTGCCTCACCTCAGCGTGTCAGAACTCATTAAATCTGCAGCTCACTTTTCTAAAAATTAAATATTGAATTCAATTTGCAGATGAGAACTAAAATGACTGTTTGGGGGGATTTCGAAGAAAACAACTCACAAGTAAATCTTCAAACTTTCAGAAAACTCTGGATAGTTACTGGTACCTGCCGCTTAGAAAGGAAACAAGTTTGATTGATGGATTTACTATTTTCTAAGAAAAACATTGTTAATGGACAAAATCCACATTTTTACAAAATAGCTATATTTACACAATTAATATATTTCACTGTAATAATTGTCACGGTCCTGTTTTTGAGCTGGAAATCCTTCAAGCTTGACTTTCTTTTTGCGTTCTGTTAGTCATTAAAATAAAAACAGGCAGGCTTATAGCTTTAGCTGGTGTAATGTCAAAAATATAGAACGGATTTTGCTAGACAGTTTGAACATATTTATTAAGTCCACTGAGCTTTAAAGCTAAACATGACGGTGATGTGTGCTATTTGAGGGAAATTATAAAGACAAATAGAGGGGAAAATATCATTTTAGTCGTGTAAATCACAGGGACTTCTTTGTTTAGCTGAGTCAAAGACGGGCGTGTCACAGTCGCAGAAGCTGAAGTGTGGAGTGAGGAGGTGGA